CTCAGACAGCAGGAAGTTTCTTTGCTTCCCTGGGCCCCTGGGTGTGTCGCTCATTCCTCCACGCTCCCGCCGTCGGGACCGGTTCCTCCTCCAGGCTCTGGGGTGGCGACTTCCCTCCGCCGGCCGCCCGTTTGCAGGTCACGCAGGTCGGGCAGCCGCGGGCTCCCTCGGCGGCTCCTTCCCAGCCTCTCCGCGGGCACCCCCCCGACCTGGCGGCCGCGGTCAACCGACGGCTCTAAAGAGTTCACGTTTCCCCCAGCGACCCGACCAGCCGCGCTTCCGCCGCCTCCGGGGTCTTTCCCAGGGTGGGAGACGGCCGAGTGTGCGGTTTTCCGCCTTCGGGGCTTTTTGTGTGTTTTTTTTCTGTTAAAAGAGAGACCTGTTGTAACTCCAGCCCCCACGGTACGCTGTCAGCATGGGGTGTTGGATCTGTCTCCTCTTTTCTATTTGATTTGAGGCGATAAAATCCAAATGAGCAACTTGAACAAGAGAGAGAGAGACAGAGAGGGGGAGAGGGAGAAGGGGAGAGGGAGAAGGGGGGAGGGAGAGGGAGAGAGAGAGAGAGAGAGAGAGGGGGAGGGAGAGGGATTTTTTTGCAGGCACCGGGGAGAATGTTACTCGCATACTACTAAGGCGGAGCAGAGCGGGTGTTTGTCTCTTCAAGACGTAGTTATAAACGTTGAACACTTTCAAAGGAAAAAGCAAAAGATGAGTATGCAGATATGCGCCTGTCATATTACATTCGGAGTCCGTATGTGCCAAACAGTTCAATTTCCTTAGTTTTGAACCAAAAATGTTCAGACGTTTTTCCTGGGTGGCGCAGTTTTCCTAACAGCAGGCACCGCTAATCTGCATGTATTTTCGCATGCCTCTGAAGATTATGAGAGGAGAGTAAAACCTTTACATTGTAAATATTTCAAGCTGTTCTTTTTAACCTTTTAATTACCACTTTCTAGATCAGCATTTCGGATGCCGCAGCCTGAACAAACATTGACTCTGAAGCAGGGAACAGCACCTCGCTCCTCCGGCATTAATATTCCCTCCCTGCCCTGCCCGCGGCAGAGTCTAATTGAAATTCACAAAGATAAAAAGCGTGCCATTTAAACCTTGCAACCAGGGGACCCGAACCTCTGCTACTGGGTGTCAGGGCTTCACTTGCTACAGTGTTTCCCTGTTTCCCATTTCTATGGGACAGTCTTCATTACGATCTTTATCACTTCGCCATTTACATTACTACTAAACTGCTTACATTTTGATAGTGGAAGTGCAGCAGTTTATGGTTTCTCCCCAACTTTAATTGCTATCCTCCCACAAAATTTCTTTCATGAATGTCTCCATTTTTGTCAATATCTTCATAGATTAGTCTCATACTGGCCATACAGTTTTTCCCTGGACTCTAATGCCAATTTATGGGTTTTAGTTTAGTTGTTTTATCTCAAAATTTGTATCTATTGGAATGATTTGTTCTGGAAGAATTAACCTTCTTCAGTTGGCACCCTTCTTAGATATGCAGCCTCACTGCTGTGTGACCCACTTATATGTAACTCCACAGAGTTCAAGCTGTTTCGAATGATTTTCACCCTTTGCTTTTCCTTAAACCTGTGTGTTAAAACGGTCTATAGATTCGGATATGCACTTATTTGAAAGAGACTCACAAAACAGCTCATTACAACACCATGACCTTGTTTTACCTCACGAAATACTTTGTAATTTTATTGATGTTGGAGAGCTGTGATTTAAAGGAAACAGAAATCAGAAAAGCAGACTGCGGGCAGTGGACCTCTACTCATTGCTGTTTCCATACTGGTATTTGACTGTGTCACTAGTCCAGCCACATTTCTTCTAGGTGTGTCCAGCTTCCACGGGCGTCTGACAGATCCAGCCTCGCTTTCCTCTACCCTCTCTGGATGGAGTGCAGCAAACTGCCTGTGATTTGAAAGCCAGACTGTGTTGGTCGTGACTAAGCTCTTCCTACCCACTTTTTTTTTGGAGCATGTCCTAAGGCAGCCAATCCTGTAGAAGTGACAACTAATTGGTTGCAGGCAAATCCATCCTTGCCCAGGCTAGGGCAGTGCAAAACCTTCTGTTTTAACTTGTTTGAATTACCCTCCCATGAATTAGATTGGGGGTGCAGAATATTTTCCATCTCCAACACCTAAGTCTCTAAGAAGGTTTCCACACGAGGATCAAAAACAAAAAGAAATATGAAGAATTGGGGGATCTTGGTTTTGTCTGATTTTTCTTTCCTGACATCTCATAATGTTGTACAGTTTTAAAATTCATTACAAAGCGACTCATGTTTTTGAACAGATATTTTGTAGGCTCTCCCTTTTCAGGCCCAACTAAATAGGGATTTGGCACAATTGCTCCTATATAACCTAGGAGACTTCATGAATATTTAACTTCTATAAGATAATATGTATATACAAATATATAATATATATATTTTATACACACATACGGATATACAGATATTTTTAGAAAGACAGGTGGATATCTGAAATAAACAATAGGCATAAAGATTTAAAAACAGCATTTATATAACACATTTCTAAAAGTGCATTCAGTCTCACCACCACGAAATTTGATCATAGTGATTTTTATATACTTTGAAATACCAGAACTACTTTAACAAGAATGGCATCTCACTGTATTTGCAAATTTTGAAATATCAGCATATATTTCATATAATAAACTTAATACATTTTAACTACATACTTTCATATGTGAGTCATTCATTCAAGTGAGACTATAAACTGATGAAAATTAGGAACTAAAGCAGAGATTACTTGTACTTTTACTCAGAATACTTTCCTAATTTCAAAATATGCTTGGAGTACAAATCTGTTCTCACATATTCACAATTATCATTAAAAACAGAACAAGACAAAACAAAAACACTGGCTCTGGCCTGTGTTGGTAGGAGCAGTGTCTCTCACATGGATGCCTCCCTCCCTC